CCATGTGGCTGAGTGCTGTGGTGTCCCGAGTTCGGGCACTCAGGGCACTCCAACACAGGACTATTTTGCTGTCCCTCATCAAGGTAGACAAACAAGCAGGGAACCCTGAGAACCATCTGTCCGGGTTGGGGGTAGGGTCCCTTTAAGCACGGAGCTCAGTTAGCCTCAGGAAGCAGCCCCACACACTAAGTCCTAACCTGATGCCCTGCCGGCACTGGTTCCAGCCAGCCTTAACTTTGGTTCAGGGTCCACTCAGTGTGGACGTGCTATTTTGAAATAGCAAAACGCTATTTCGAAATAGTTTTTGTGTATAGATACGTTATTTCAAACTAACTTAATTCAAATTAACTATTTCGAATTAGCTTATTCAAATAAGTTAATTTGAATTAACTTATTCAAATTAAGTTAATTTGAAATAGCGCTAGTGTAGACATACCCTTAGTCTCTAAAGTGCCACAGGACTCCTTGTTGTTTTTGCATATACAGACTAACATAGCCACTCCTCTGGGACTTCTGCAAATGACGGTCCCTTGACCATAAGTCTGGTGGAACCCAAAAGCTGGTTCTGAGTGTGGGTCGCTAGCATGGGAGCTGTATGCCGACATTCTGTCTTGCCTCACTGGAGCCACATCATAAACCTTCACCAAAGCAAACTCACATTTGCCTGGGTTCTCGGTGTGCAGACTCACCTGCGGCTGGATCCACCTGAACCTTCCACCCACCCCCAAAGAAACGATCCACTGGGTCAATTAACTCAGCATGCTCTCGTCATCCTGGCAAGCTAGTGGACCATGTAAACTCAGCTCTCAGGACTTGTCTAGGCTGATTGGATTTTTGCAGGGAGCAAAATATAAGAGGCAAAGATCTGCTGGCAGTGGGGATGGCTCTTGTTTTACAGCGGTATAAAGTAAGATCAGGGTTTGGCCTAAAGAAGCTCTGCAGTTGGATTTTCACCTGACTTCTGCCCCTGAATACCAGGCCAACCCAGTGAAGTCAACAGAGCGAAACTGGTGTGAACAGTGATAGAAATGTAGCCGTGTTAGTCTGGGATAGCTAAAGCAAAATGCAGGACAATGTAGCACTTTAAAGACTAACAAGATGGTTTATTAGATGATGAGCTTTCGTGGGCCAGACCCACTTCCTCAGATCAAAAACCTGTGAACACTGAATCTGGCGCTCTGAATTCCTCAGATTCCTGGGGAGGTGGGGGGGGGAGGGCAGATTGAAAATCAACTACTCTCACAAGCACCAGTTGTAGAGCATGGGAATGCTGCCTTTGAAGAGGCTTTTAGCATTTCCTGGGCTACTTGATGTTTCATGCTTTCACCAGTGGGAGAGTCAAACAAACAAAAGACTCGAAAACCCAACACCACACCAGAAACGGCCCAGCCACTGCAATTCCCTGAGCAGATACTCAGCACAAACAGCGAATTGTGCGCTGTGTTCTAAGGGCCAGGAGAAACAGAAAGGCGTCTCTGTTCACAGGCCAGGAAGAGAATTCCAAAACAAGTTGTTCTCCACCGGCAGCCAGCTTACATCGTAACACTTTATTGCTTGCTCCCAAGGAATTTCAAGTTAGCCACGAAGGACGTATGGCTGCATACTTGACGTACAGTATGGGTTTGGTTTTGTAGCCTGTGGTTCTCAGAGGGTACACTTCCCTCTGTTATTATGAAAAGATCCTTCTCCCATGTCAGAGGTTTCCTGATGGTGGATTTTAATGCAGCTAAGTGATGTCTTCCACACTTCATTTAAATAACCCCTCATCTTGATAACAATGCCTTACATCACAATGAGTGTTTCATCCCAGGAGTTCGCACCCCTTTACAAGCCTTTAGTCCTCACACCGCTCCTTGGAGGTACATGACCACTGCTGGACACATGGCAAAGTTGAGGCACACAGCAGTTAAGGATTCGCCCAGCTCATGGAGGCAGGAAGTGTAGCAACAGGCATAGGTAGACGCATAGGAAACAGGAAGTGGTAGACCCATAGGCAGCAGGTGGTATAGGCTAGAGGGCACTCAACCCTCCCAAATGGTTTTTTGAGATGCCCTTCTGCCTATGTGATTGCCCAGATTAGCAGGAGAAGCCTCATGTTAGGTAGGGGTAGGGGCAGGGGCAGGAGAAGGTAACATGGAGAGTGGGCCCTGCACACTCAGGATGGCGCTAGATTCCTCAATCTCTGTAGGGGGTGCTCAGCGATGCCTCCCAGGAAGATTGGATGAAAAAGGGCGAAAGTCCTATGTGTGGGGGAAGGGGTCCTGAGGTGATGTGGGGGGGAGGGGGAGAAGAAGAGTCCCAGAGCAAATGGAGGGGGATACTGAAGGGCTGGGGAGGAGGGGAGGAGAATCCCAGGAGATGGGGGGAAATCTTGAGGGGGTGGGAGGAGAAGGGGCACCCCAAGCAGTGCTGCTGGAACGATTTTTTATAGTGGGGGTGCTGAAGGCAGAAACCATGTATTTAGGTTGCTATTACTACTTTGAACCAGGGGATGCAGCAGCACCTCCAGTTCCAGCAGCTATGGCCCCAGGAGCAGAACCTGCAGAGATGAGGAGAGGACAGTCCCAAGGGAAAGGGAGGGATCCCTGAGGTGATGAGGGGAAAGGTAACTTCAGGGGGAGGATGCTGAGGGGAACTGGAGGGGAGAGTGGAGTCCCAGGATGGGACAGACCTTGAGAGGATGAAGGGGAGCCCTGGGGACGAAGGGAGACCCTCAGATAACGTAGAGGGCTGGGAGAAGGGAAGTCTAAGGAACCCTGAAAGGGAGTCCCTCAGACAGAGACAGAGAGAGAGAGAGAGAGGGTGTGTGTGTGTGTGTGTGTGTGTGCACACGTACAGCTTGGAGCACCGCAGCTAGAGAGTTTTGCCTGAGTGTGGGTGCATGCCTCACATGACACTACGGTGGGCTTCTCCACATGAGCAAGCAGCGAGGGCCAACGGGCCGGAGCAGTGAGCCAGGGCCAGCCGCAGCCGCAGAGAGAGTGCAGGGTGGGCTCTGCTGCCTGCAAAGAGTATTTTCACCCGCCGCTTAGGAAAAAGCATCAGATTCCTGACTCCCAATCCCCAGGGGTGGGTCCCTTTGACAGGGATCCCTCTTTGGCTTCTTCCATAACTACAGTAAACTTCCGATAATCCGGCACCTTTAGGACCCACAGGGTGCCGGATTATCAGATATGCCGGACTATCAGAAGGGGGGGCTATGAGGGGTCTGAGGTGGGGTTGGGGGATGCTATCCCAGACCCCCTCATAGCCCCCCCTTCCGATAGTCCGGTTCTGCCTCAGGAGTCCCTGATTCAGCCGCTGCTGGGCAGGTTCTGGGGGGCTGCTGGGTTGGTCCCGTAGCGCCAAGGAGCGAGGCTGCGGGACCAGGTAGCACCCCAGCTGCTCTTGGGGATTCCTGGAGCAGAGCAGCTG